TATAGAAATTTTAAGCAGATGAAAAATTAATTTATGAAATTTATATTTTTTACATGAGAGGAGCAATAATTTTACATTTTCTCTCTCAAAAATGCTTGATAAAAATCAAATTGTATTATATTATATATATTTAATTAAATTATTTTCAATAAACCACCAAGGCGAAGGAACGCTGTTCGGTGCAGTTATTATTAAAGAAAAAGTAATAAAATCTGTTTATGTGTTTTAGGCAAATATATAACCGTATATCTAATAGCACGCGATTGGCCGGTGACGAGAGTGCGAAAAATTCTACAAAGCTGCTGTTTCATGTTCCAAAATTCGTGATTCCGGCAATTTTAAATGTTTTGCTATTTGAATGGCCAAACCATAATGTTTGCAAAACACCAATCGATCCAACACAACATGTGGCTTCAATCGATTAAACATAGACAAAGAATAATAATTAAAATCATAGCATTATTCTCATTCTACAACAAAAATTCATGATCAAATTTACTGTGCATATGTTAAAGGTATTCCGATTTTAGTATCGACATGTTTCAATGTATTTATCTGGATTATGGCTGGCAATAAATGCTTTGCCAAAGTATGCAGCTCGAATCAAGCTCTTCTGAGTATTTGTGTCAAATTCATAGCTGGCCGCTAAAGATCCATAAAAATGATCGTATCTATCGTAAAACAAATGAAGCACAATCACCATTCAATTTGCTTTGGTTTTTCAGATTGATTTGTTTTGAATTCACAGTATTTTGTTTGCAAATCAGACGTTCCCATCCAAACGATGCCGTTATTTGTATACATACAATGCCAAAAATCGATGATTATACGAAACGGACATTGCGAAAATACTTTTAAATTCATTTTCAATGGATACCGTTTGTACGGAACACACACTATATCCCTGGCTTAATTTGAACAATTCATGTTCACGTACAACCAAACTGCATGTATTTCGATCTTCATTGATAATAATCCAACACGTTGGATCGAGTATCGATTCTGTAAATAAATCAAATCAAAAGTAAGTATCATCAAAGTTAGTCTTAATCGAACGTATGGGTGATGATATTCACTTGGCATTTCGGGCAATTGTCGATTTTTCGGCTCTTTTATACTATTTATAAGGAATATACGATAATTGGTGGTCATTACAGCAACGCCTGTCCCTGAATTTGATGTAAATATTTTGGCATCGATGACTTTTGTGTTTATGACTTTTTTTTGCTCATAACCATTTCAACAACGATACAATCGAATGAAAATTAAAAGAATCACCAATAGATGGCGCATCGTCTATTGGTCATTGTTTCAGATTGAATTAATTATGCGCAATTACATATACATACACATACACAGTAGCAGCTAGTTTGTCGGCATTGTTATTACGAAATGTCAAATAATCTTTCGCATTTACACAGCGAACTCCAATTGGATTAGTTGAAATATTTAGTCTCAAAGGCGGAAAAAAACCGTAATTAATTTTTAGTGTGCTCAAAATCACATAAAACTCAATAATTATCGAATTAATTCATATTTTGTTGTGATTTCAAACAAATTGATAACAAATTGGAAAATATTCTTAACTTTAAAAAACGTGTTTGATAATTTCATCATCTTAACGATCAAAGAAATTGAGACGCAATTGTCAATTGAACCAACGGAACAATTTTTCAATTTTTCCTGTGCATTAATTCATCAAAGTCCCAAAATAAATCAGGTAAATTCATGTTTTGTCGTGTTTCGAAAATAAATTATCGCTATTGATTGCAAATTGATGAGTATTTCTAAATTGATTGGTGATTTTCGGATTTTTTCGGCACATGTTCAATTTTTTTTTTTCTTTGCTTTTTGAAGTTTGGTTATGTTCTGTTCCGCTTGTTTGTTGTCCAAGATCCATTCTTTGATATTGTACGAATATGTATCGATTTGTTTCTATTTTTTCCGTATTTTATAATTAAGGATGCGTCCGAAGCGTACTTGCGTTAATGAAACGAATGAAAGAATTCGAATATACTCTGAATGGGCCAATTCGCAGCGCCAAAGACAACCAATGAATAACGCATCGGCCAATAGCCAACAAACTGAGCCGACACAAAATCAAGACGAAGAAGAAGAAGAGAATCAATCATTGGATGTGACTGTGGACAATAGCCAACAAACTGAGCCGACACAAGAGCATGTGGATGTACAAGACGGAGTTCATCAATCGATCGAAATTCAATTAGAACAGTGTACACCATGCACAGTTGGTTTGGAAGTCATGTCACAGAACGATTCTGAAACTCAGTATTTCAATCGATACCGAGCCACAAATACAACTGGATCCAAAAGACGGAAAGGTAAATAGCTGGTTGTGTTGTGTCTTTCGTTTGATATTTTTTTCTACTTCTTCTTTTGATTCTGAAAATAAAAACACACGACAATATAAATACGGGTCCAAAGGGAACCCGAATCAATTCTTTTCTAATCTAATGAAAATGTTTCTATACAGTCATTGAATCGGATGACGATGATGATGATGATGATGATGTTGTCGACGCACACAGTAATGTCACGCACACGCCTAGTTTAGTCTTGCCACAGACTTCGACACAATCGAAACGCGTACGATTCGATCAAAACAATCGACAGCAACAACGACCATCAAATTCGTCAAGCCACAATTCACCAATTCATCAAAATATACAAAATGCCGGCACATCGTCATTACACAATCAAATCGAAATGGAATGCCAAAATGTGTTTTCTTCCATGACAAGAATAATAGCTTCAAACGCAGCACATCGTCAAATCGGTAAAATATTAAAATCGCTTAAAATGACTACATAGTTTTTTTTTTGTAGATTTTTATTGATTTCATATAACAGAATTTATATGATTTACAACACATTTCTCTCTACACACAGTTGAAACAATTGCAAATGAATTGAGCACACGGTTGAATCAATTCACTCGGAACATCAAATTGAATTCAAACGTTAAGCGAAAAGTCGAAGATTTGGTGGAAAAATTCGAACGGAGTCATGTCGAAGCCTTGCAGCGTTTACGAAATGGATTTGGAATTTGTGTTGATACTAATACAACTGCTGCTTCTACTGTTGCCGATCGGAACGATGTGTCTACACCAACATCATCCGGTGATACAGTCGCATCAGGTACACGTCCAAAACAATCACAATCGATAGCAATGCACGACAAAAAACAATACCGGCCAAACGAAAGAAGCGAGCAAACACAATTGCAAATGCACCGGCAACAAAGAAGCGAACAACTCGTGCCACCAGTATGCCGAATACATCGAATAATGATAATGTTAGCGATGATTTCGATTTCAATGATGGCGATGACGATGGCGACAATGGTGATGAGGATTCAGAAAGATACCAATCGATCAAAATGGGTAAACGTAAGTCGTTCAATGAAAATCTACAGAATAAGGATGAATTGGCTAGCATTATCAATAAAATTGTCACGGACATGAGTCACACTTGGCGACTTGGCGCACTCAACGTACACTGTAGCCTCATGCGAATCATACAATCGAACAATGAAGCAGCCATTCGTACCGAATTTTGGAACAGTACGTGTGAATACAATCGTAATTATTTTGATGGTTATTTTCGTGGTGTGTATGGTAATTGTATCAATGGCAAGAAAAAATTGCGAAAAACATGGAAATTGGATCAGGCTATAATCAAGTTCTGTCAGAAGCACAAAGTCATTGAGAAAAATGCAATTGGTTATGGTAACATTTTCACCTATGCAACTCGGCAATATTTCACCAATTTCATGATGTGTATCATACGTAGTCTGTATAATAATGTTCGGGCATATTTGAATCATTGTGTGATTTCCGAAGAATTGGCAAACCATCCGAAATCAAATGAACCGTTTGCGAGCACATCACGCGCCAGAACACCACCACTGCCGCCACAAAAATGTCGAACATTGAAACAGATACGCAAAGCGAATTACCAATTGATCACCAATACAATGCGCTATTTGTTCAGCGACGAGGCAGAAAATCCGAATTTCTATAAGAAAAAGCCACAATCGAAACGACCGCCACGCAAAAAGGCCACCGATGATGAAGCGGCCAAACGAAAAAAGCGACAAAATGAAAAGAAAGTGAAAAAGCCAAAACGAAAACGTGATCCAATTCTATTGACACCAGCTATCGAACGTCTTCTGAAGCGTATTCAAACCGATTTTAATCCGATGGATTTCGAAGCGAATCGACGCGGTTATTTTTCCAAATTGACAACAAATTGGTATCGTCATGTGCCATTTTTCGTACAACTACAGCAATATTGTCGTGCAAGAAATCGTGAACGCTGTCTCATGATCAATAAACAAATGGATGAAGATGAAAAGAACCAACCGGCTGAAGTTGCCGCAGCAAAGGCCAAACTTCAGGCCACCACTCACACTAAATCGAAATCGAAATCAATCTGTCGTCCGATTGCCGAATATGTGCCACGAAAACGATTGCCAGGTATCAAATATACATGGGTTCGATGTGCGCCAAATTTGACCGTGTATCAAGTCATTCCGGAGGCACGTTTTGGTCGTATCTACATCCAAATCGACAGGCGTGGCCTCTTCGAAATCCTTAAGCGGTTGAAAAATCCAAAGGAACCGGAAATGAAAAACGAGAATGGCTGCAACCAACAATGGAAACAACCGTTCAATGGCAACAAAGAACTGTGGGATCGCATGTGGCGTAAATATTTCGGCATCAGTAAAATCGAACGCCATTCGGCCGGCTTAACATTCGCCAATCGAATACAAACTGATGGCAATGCATTCGTTTTTCTGATGAACAAAGAGAAGAAGACGAAGAAGAAAAACGATGCAACTGATGCTGAAACCAAAGAACGGCTACGAAATATATTACGCCACTGCGATCGCGAAGTAAGCTTTGATGTTGGCGACCGTGAGATCATCGCCGGCCAAATTATCGATCGAGAGAAAGATGATACGGGTGCTGTGAAAGTGAAAAGCGTACGCAATTTCAAAATTTCCAGCAAGCAATATCATTGGATGACGAAATTGCCACAGTTCAAGAAACAACGAGATCGACTGGTTGGTACGCTTGAATACGACAGAGCCGACGATCGTGAGCGCATCGAACGAGAGTGTGAGAGCCATGTACAGCCGAGCAGCAAGACGATCGATTTTAAAACGTACGCCGACCATACGTTAAGATTTTTCAATCGGGCCATGGAAGTGTACGGCAGCGAAGAGTATGTACTGACTAATTTTTTGCATTGGATTGAAATCCATCGAACCATTGGTGAATTGGTGCGAATGATTGTGGCACAAGGGCATGGTAAACATACATTTGTGTTTGTTGGCAAGGCGCCGTTCACCCATGCAAATTCACCATGCAAAGGTTATGTACGTACCAGTGTTCGTTTGCTATTCAAAGCACTCGAACAACATCCACAATGTACCGTGCGCTACGTGGATGAATATCGAACAACAAAATTATGTAGCCGTTGCTTTAATGTACTGGAAAATGGTTCGAGGAACGGCCGAAAGACAACGAAATCTCGATTCAAAGTGTGTCGCCAGTGTAAACCATCGCCAGAAGCACTGCCCGATGGTGGTTCATTCATTTACAGTCACAAGAGTTCGAAACAATTGAAGAAGCAGAAAAAATATCGACCACGGTATTCGGACGAAGATGGCGGCCAGCCAAAAGTCGAACTGAAACGCTTCAATATGGTCGATGGAATGCTTGTGCCGGCTGCTGAAAATGCTGCGATATTATCAGTGAAGAGGCCACGAACACATTTGCGACGTCGGCGTCTAGATGTCATCGCATGGAAATACATACGAAATGATGATGATATTGGTGATACGACAAAATTCCGTTCGGTTACATTGAATCGAGACACTAATGCCGGTCGAAATATTCGACTTCGCGGTATGTTTACAGTGAATCATTTATTTATTTACTTTGAATCTAATATTCAATTTTCTTCGTACATGTATTTAGGTCATCATGAACTGTTGGGAATAAAATTGCCAGATGCATTTACAGTCGATGCCAAGATCAGCATGCAGAGCGACGCTTCAAACAATTTGATGAAAATAAGCGTAAAAAGCAACAAAAGGTGAGCTGAATTATTCGTTGGATATGATTTTTGAATTAATGTGATTAGTGTAAAATGTGTGTGTGTTATTTACATTTCAGTATCAAACATCAAAAAATTCCAATGAAGCTGAATACGATTCGGATCAGTCATGGTGGTCGTCAAGCAGCGAAGAAGATGCAATCGATTTGAGCAACAGTGAATTGTCTGACAACAGTGATGATAGTAATGATAGCGGTAGTGGTAGCGCTAGCGACGATGGCGAAAACTGAGAATAGCATCGTTCACACACTACACATCGCTCATTCAACAAATCAACCATCAATCAATCAAACAAATTAATGAAAAATTAAATTTAGTTTAATTTAAGGAACAATGTTAATAGTTCTTATCATGAAGTCTGGCTATATATTTAGCGTGGACTTTCGTATTATCTAACCAATATATTCACATCTGGTTTGTTTTATTTTCGAAATAACATAATGTTGATAAAATTTACTGTGAATTTCCAACAAAATTTCGATCTACAATGTAAATTTTCTGCGTGGAAACTTGACTGTAGAGCGACGTCCGTTGGACTTAGGTATTGTTGAATAAGTAATTGTCAAGTGTGCAAATTTAACCCTCTCTAATTGAATATAAAAAAATTTACTCATGAATTAAAACACGTCCAGAAAGTATCAGCCTTTCATTTTATATAAATTTGACAATTGATTTTTGGGCACATATTCATCTGCAGGCTAAAAATTGCGTAAATGCCGTGAAAATCCTATAATAAAAAAATACTAATTTGCAAGGTTCGGGAGTTTTTATTCAGATAATTTGAAGTAATTTCTTTCAATATTATTATAAATAAAATGTACAGTAGGGTGTTTCCGATGTTTCTAAATGAGAAAATGGTACTTTTGAATTCAAAGAACACAGAATTCTATATTATTTAATGGCATTCATATAACAAAGCGATTGACAATGGCACTTCCCGAAGCGAAAAAGAAATATGAAACGCATGAAGTTTGAAGTTTTTTTTCTTTGTCGCTTGCACATATATAGACACTTTTCGATTGCTTTGATAACTTATTGTTGCGACTCCTTTGAATTCGATAAATAAACAAAATAAAGTATTTATGTTAAACGCATTTTCACAATCGTACAACAAAACTCTGTGTAAGCAATTTTTGGCCAGTGAAGTCGGTATATGATTTGAATCAACATTAACACACAAGCAGTCCATACAACACATTAACACACAGCAGTCCATACAGATTTGAGTATATCCATCGCGACAGGCTAATAATCATGCCGTTTCGTTTGCTTGTTAGTGTTTACACATACACAAACTGTGAGTCCGTTCATTAGTTCAGCACACACAATTTCCTTATTCAAACGGTTTATAAACAAAAAATGTGTGTGTTTACAGTATAGGAATATTTTTTTACATCGGAATGCAGTGTGAGTTGTGTGTTAGTCGAATGATCTGTCACATTTTAAACGTGGTGAAACTTTTAAGAATCATTGTTTTTTTTTATTTGAATTTGCATTCCTTGCATAATTTCTATGCATTCGATTGTTAAAGTGCTAAAACATATAATTTGAATGTGTCGGCGTATTTTGTATTTGTTTTATGCTTTCGAAGGAGTTAATTTCACTCTGTTGATGGTTTTTTTATGAATACAACAGATTCAACATTCGGATCATTGTCAATCGATAACTTGCAAGAGAGATATTTTCAGTGAAACTTGTGTTCGATTTTGTTTTGTTTTGATATCAACAAAACGTTCTCAAGCTGAAACTGCAAATATTTCGATACAACTTTGGACTGTGTTAGTGTGATGTGCATTCGAGAGAGTTCTTTTTCGATTTTGAATATCACTTCAGTCGTGTCCATCAATCAGGTAAGATCAAGTGTTAATTCTATCTCCGTTTTATGTGCTTTCTATTGATTCATTTACAAATTGCACAGTGCAAAATACATATGTGTGATTTTATCAGTGTTTTTATAGTAAATTGTGCGTGTTTTTTTCTATTTCGTTGCAGTTCAACATGTCGACAACTGGTGAAACATCGGCTGCACAGGCGAAAAAGAAACGATATAAATATCAAACAAAAAAGCAACAAGAGGAGGAGGCCGAGGACGAAAACTTCAATGACAATGGCTTATTAGCGATAAAAATGCGCCTCACAACAATTGTTCGGCCGGAGTACCATGATGTTGTCATACATTGGATCGAAAAGAAAAGTGTCATGTCAACAAAGATCAGCGTTTTGGCCTCATTGCTGTTCCTTGACAAAGTGAAGTCCGCGCAAAACAATCGCCAATGGGACTTTTTCACGAATAGAATGTATGTTAACCAAAAAGGAAAATTGGTTGAAAAAAATCGTGCCGAAGATGTGATTGAGCGCTGCTTCTATGCAGTTTTGCAAAAGAACAAAGAAAACGAGGACATGGAACCACACATTCGTCATTTTGTTGAGCAAGGACTGAGCCGAGACAATCAATTTGCCTGGCCAAACAACAATTATTTCGGCAACATCATGAAATCTTTATGCCAAAGTTATACGCGCCAATTGAAAACGAATCAAACGACACATGCAAAGAAGCGGCTGCGAAATTATTTGCAAATGAGAGCTTGGCAGTTTAATGCAGTGTCAACCGGTTTGAGGTTCGATAAAAAGGATGTTGACAATGCAATTGATTGGGCGATTCGACGCTATGATGCCATTCGAGACACACATCAGAATGCACCTCTTAAACGATACAAAAGAAAGTTGCTGCTTGACATGGTTCGTGCAATTGTGGAAGAGGTTGGTGGACTAGCGAATTATGACAACATCAAGCAGTTCTCAAAAGGCAAATACTGGTTCAAAGCAACTGCAATGTGGCTTGTCATGCAAAGCGAAATCGATGAGTTTCACAATTGGGCGCAAGACAACAACGTCACAATACCGAAGATCAAAAATCTGTCTGTTGTTCCATTGCCAGATTATCAGCGAAAGGCAGTGTTCATGTGCAATGATGTTTTCTACAGAATGTTGGCAGAAGAGAAACTCCTTCCAAAAGTCGAAGGTAAACAAGTTACCGAAACATTCATTCGCGAAAACAAAGAACACTTCTGGAACCAAATATTCGATTTTGACAAAATCAATCGAATATTGAAGAAAAACAAAGAGTTTCATTATACTATTGTTAGCAACGGTGAATCAGTATCGGTATTGTATAAATTGTCAAAACAACATCTTCAACGGTTGCTGGATGATGACATTGTGAGAAAGCGATACTTGGATGGAACGTTTGTTTATGAACTGGGAATCGATCCGGGTATGAAGACATGGAATGCGACTGTCCGAAGAACCATCAGTACTCGCAAAGAAGTAAGTATTTATTTTTTCTTTAGCATTGTTAAAAAATCGAGAGTTATATGTTACGTGAACGAAGCAAACAAACAAAATTTTCAATTGATTTTTTTTTTTAATTTTAATTTCAGGTCAACTTGAAAACATCTAGTAAAAAGTACCATTGGCTCACGAAATATAAAATGCGCGACAAAAAGGCCAAGCGCTGGACGAAGCAGTTCACTTTGGATGAGCAAAATGATCGAAACAATCGACAGCTGTACCAGCGAATGCCATCACCGCTTGGTACACTTTGGACTGATTACATTTGCCATCGGATAAAAATGCTCAAGAAAGGAATGGACGTGTACACTACACCAAAATATGCGCGCTTGAAGTTTGACAAGTATGTTGAGTCCAATAGTACTATAGATAAACTTTGCGGCACTTTGGTTAATCATCAAGCAGCTTTGATTCATTTGGGCAACGCCGACATGTCACCAAATTCGCCAATACGCATTAAGAAGCATGTGCGCTGTCCCGGTACACGCAAACTTTTGAAAGGTTTTCGAAAACGTGGCAATTGTGTCGTGCGCAAAGTCGATGAGTATTTTACATCACAGACATGCGCAAAATGTGGCGGACGATTCGATCCAAACACCAAAAGCAACCGTTTCAAAGTTTGTGAAAATTGTGCACCGGTGCCAAATTCAATCATGGCTAACTTTTTACCATCGAAAATCGTGGCACAGCTCAGCAAACGGCGTTTAAAGTATAACAAAGTTTATATTGAAGAGAGTTTGGCGGTATTTCTGGCTCGAGGTGAAATGACTGAGCATGATTTCGACATTATAGCTGATCGTTTACTGTCTAAGGTGGCCGTGTATCCAAAAAAATGGCAAGTAAACGCAGTGAGTGGTGTATTGGAATATGCTGACGTCAAAGTCGATCAACAACCACATGCAGTTGATGATGAAAATGCAGCGGAAATCGATGGAGAGGTCGCTCAACAACCGTGTGCAGTCGATGATGAATGTGTGACGGAAATCGATGACAAGCAACAACCAATGATTGTGCATCAGACAACTTGGGATCGTGATATCGTGGCCGCCAAATGCATTCTCATCAAAGGTATGTATATAAGAAATGGACATTTGCATATTATAGATGTGTTATGTCTGTGTTAAATGACATTTGTATTTTTTTATAGGACATTGTAACCTGTTTGGACTGGATATCCCGCTAACATTGCAGAGACCACGTCGACAACAAGCAGTTCATAATAATCAACAGCCTTAAGCATAACCAATCACTATTTTAACTCGAAAATTAATTAAAAATTAATATTGTAATTTTGTTACACTAACTGAGACTGACTGTTGTGTCTCAGCATTTCGAGGAAGTACTATCAAGGCTCTGTTTTTCTGTGAGTATTTTTCATTATTCGATTGCATTTATATATTCAGACGTGACAATTGTTTTTCGCTTCGGGAAGTGCTACCATCAATCGCTTCGTTGTATAAATGCCATTAACTACCATAAAATTTTGCCTACTTTGAATTAATAAATACCATTTTTCTATTTACAGATATGGGAAACACCCTAATGTACAGTAAGATGAACTTTTTTCTCTATGAACTGTCGTGTGCAAAACATTCACTCGAGTTGATGATCCTGTGTTTGAATGAGCATGTCAAAATGTTTTCATTCTTCTTTGTATCACAAAAACATTCAATTTATGTCCAATATTCGATCATTGACAACAGTTTTGATTTTGAACTATAGATTTTATTTGGCAAACTACTAAAGTTTCTACTTTATCTAATAATGTATCTTCGTAAACAACAACAAAATTATAAACTGAATGCACACATTTTAAATCTCAATGCAATCCATATTTATTTGATATTTTTCTCACCATATTTATAAAGGAAAAAAAAAACGATTTTGTTATAATTAAGTTCATTCATGTGGTCGTAAAAATCCACATTATTCTGAATGTATTCAAAGAAATGTACATTTGGATTTCTATTTTAAGAGAAACCTGGTAAAACCATTTAAATATAATTTGAAACTTTTTGATTCCCATTAATTTGTTTAAATTTCACGTTATAAATGAAGAGGCTTGATATCTATTGAATACAACGATGTTCTATTTAGCCATTATCCACTTATTCAGCCGTAAGTACTGAGCAAAAACCTCTTATCGTCATATTCAATAGATATCAAGATAACACATCAAATGAATTCAAAAACAATATTACTGTCAGTTTTTTTCACAAGACACGAAAAACTGCAAAAAAATCAAATTTAGAAAAACCCTTCTTGGTTTGCCTCGGCTTGGGCTCAAACTGGTTTTTAGTTGATTGATTGGAGAAAACTTGTGTTACACAAAAATGACAAATGTTACACAAAAGCGACAAATGTTACATACGCGTGTGACAAATGTTACACAAAAATGACAAATATTATACAAAAGTGACAAATGTTACACAAAGTATCATTTTTCGACTAAAAATTGCAAAAAATTGTATTATTTTCTTAATCGATCGAATTCTTGTTATTGAATAATGTAATAAGCTCAATTTTGGCTATTTTTTCTAAAGGTCTGCCAAGAAAATATTGATTCTCAAGCACTTTTGTAAACAAAAAAATCGTTCAATTCCAAAAGTGACATTTTAACTTTTTTTACATTTGTTTTTACTTTTTTTACAAAGTTTGAAATTTTTAGAGATTTTTTGCTGTCTTCTAAGAAGAACTGACTGTGTATGTGAATTCATATTGATCTTTCTTAAAAAATTCTGAAATAACATACTTTTTGCAAAACTCAATTGACATTAAAAAAAAATATATTTTCTATTTATTTGTTGATGAAAAAAATAGCTTTTTGTAATAATCAATTGATTCAGAACATTATAAAAACTTGTTATGTCATTTGCTGCATTCCCATTTATTTTACATATTATTTTGTTTGTTGTCGTTTTTAAATGTTCTTAAAAATAAATGCTTGTTAAAAATTTTGAAGATTTTCTTTTCTTCGATAAACATTCAAATTAATGTGGAATTATTTGCAGAAAAAATGTAAGCAATTTTTTAATAATGTCGAACCAAATGTCAATTTTTTTGAAGTGTTTTCCATAGTTTTTTTGATTTAAATTTTTTTTTCTTCGTGCGCTTTTTTAATTATAGCAAGTTTAGAATGAGGTGAAGATGGAGCCAATGAACGATAGGGAGGATCTTTAGTTCCGTGGAGCACCAAAGACCATTCTTTAAGCCATCCTGTACGAGGTTGTTCGGAGTTGAATTTCACCTTAAATAATAATAAATATTTTAAGTATTTTATTAGGGAAAATTATGATATGCCCATCCATGTTAAATAATCTCATTCTCTACATTGAGAAGGAAGAGCAAATGAACGACAATTCGACCGATTGCCACCAAAGTTTGGCCTTTCTGCGAGGACAATGAATAAATAGTGAAAATAATATTTAAAATACGGCCACTAATCTGTGTTTAAAGAAAATTCAGGATGACGATAATCCTACCTTGATCGTATAGTTACGGTCTATTAGACCGTCCATACAAAATACAAGGAAAACCTTACAAAAAACGAAACAAAGTTACACATTTTTTTTTCAAATGTTTGAATTGTTTTGTCATGAAAACATTGAAAGAAGTTTTAAAATGAAAAATTGAAGAGATTTCAAAACAACGAAGTCTCTTTTTTTCGCACCACGATGTGATCAACATGAGTCACGCATATTAAAGATGAATAAGGTTGCCATTATTAGCAGCTGAAAGACAGGCAAAATCACAAAAAAAAACTACCGATCGACATTTCTCGCTTTTCTGATGGGAAAATCGCAAAAATAAAAAAAGGCATGTTAGCCCCGATATGCTCGACTTCTAGAACACTTTGGATCAGGTTTGGGTCCACCCACTCCATAGGAGTCCACCCACTGCAATACGCGCGACTCATGCTGATCATATCGTGGTGCGAGAAAAAGACTTCGTTGTTTTGATTTGAACGTTGAAATACAGATTCAAGACTCATTGAAATTCTTAAATTTAAGTCTCATTCAATACACCCGATTTTTCGGTGAAACCAAAACCAATTTCGACAAATGCAATGAAAATGTATGCGGCGAACATTCAAAAATCACTGTCTTTTGTGCAAATCGCGAAAAAAAAAAACGCTTTCATGTAAATGATTGTGATCATTCAAATTGGTTTTTTTCTTAAAATCGTTTTAACTTTTCACTTTCAAACTTCATTCAATGTTTCCATAACAAAAAAAATATTGGGTGTAGGCATTAATTTCCGGAATTTTTTTGGTTCAAAGAAACATTTATTTAAAAATAATAAGAATGAGTACATTAACCAATGTACTGCCCATCGTTAGGTATGACTTTGGCCCATCTTCTTGGTAAATTGTCGATTCCGCGTCTAAAGAATTCCTCATCTTTTGAGGCTATCCATTCATCGATCCATTTTCGCACCCTTCAGGATTTCGAAACGATATCTCGGACAAGCCCATTTGCATCGATCGGAACAAGTGGTAATCAGAAGGAGCAAGGTCTGGAGAGTACGGGGGGTGATCAAGCCGATCCCAACCGAACGCCTCTATCTTTTGTTTGACGATGTGTGCTCGATGTGGCTTAGCATTGTCGTCGTGAAACAAAGCTCGATGGTGTTTTCTCGCTACCAACGGCCGTTTTTCGTTCAATGCATGCGCCAATTTGTTCAATTGTTGTCGATAGCGTTCAGCTGTAACCGTTTCACCTTGTTTTAGCAGCTCATAATACACGATACCTTTCTGATCCCACCATATGCACAACATAACCTTCTGGCAATGTTAGTCTCGTTTTGGCTGCGATGGTCCTGGTTGGCCTGGATCAACATACGCTGCTTTACGTTTGGGGTTGTCGTAAATCGTAATAGACCCACTTTTCATCGCCCGTGACAATTCGACTCAAAAAACTATGTTTTTTGTGTTCTTTAAGATGTTTTTTGCATGCTGTGATTCGTGCTTGGAGCTGATTTTCAGTCAGTTGATGTGGTACCCATTTTCCCAACTTTCGAATCTTTCCCATTGCATTCAAACGTCTTGAAATGGTTTTTTGGTCGAAATTTAACTCCATTGCGAGTTCTTTTTGGGTTCGGGCCGAGTTTTCATCCAATAATGCTTGCAAATCTTCATCTTCTAACCTTTTTGGCTGACCTGGGCGATCTTTGTCTTGAACATCAAAATCACCACTTTCAAATCGTTGAAACCACACGTAACATTGTGTTTTTGAAAGAGCATGTTTGCCATACAATTTCACAAGTAAACCATGACTTTCAGCTGCAGTTTTCTTTGCAAAGAAATAGCTTAACAAAACTTCTCGCAAATGCTGTTTCTTTCTCCAACTTTCAAAATTTTCCATCGTTGAAAAAAAATATGATGCGCACAAACAAATGAAACACTCTTGACTGATTTTGACAGCATTTGAATAGGTCTTTCAAACGACATACATGTCATTGATCTTTTACAACGCAAAAGCAAGTGGTGACATCTAATGTCAGATTCCGGAAATTAATGCCTACACCCAATACATTTTTTTTTTTTAAGTGTAACTTTGTTTTGTTTTTTGTATGGTTTTCCCTGTATTTTGTATGGACGGTCTAATAAACCGTAACTAACCTATACTATTGTTTTTATTTCGAATTTTACCTAGAAGGGTTAATGTTCTTTAACCTCGGAAAAACTTTAAGAAAATGTGTTAATGGGTTGACTTAAAAGGTTTGGAAAGTGACTAAGTGACTTGATTCATACGCAAAAATAAGCGCAAAATTGAATACAAAAATTGAAAAACAAGGTGAGGCCTTATGTCTCTTTGGATCTCTTTAACATGGATGAATGATTTTTTTTTTTTTTTTTTTTTTTCAAAACAAAATAAAATAACGGGCGTTTTAGATATTTTCCATGATTCCTTTGTGAAGTTTATGCAATTTGTTTATTTTCAGAAATTAATTCGAAGAATAAAAGTAGATTCCATGCAAACTCAAAACATTTTAGAATTATTATTTTTTTTGAAAAATCTCAAAAATCACGAATTCAGTGAAAATCTTAGATTCTATGATGTCGTAATTGTAAATTGCTAAAACAACGGATTCCATGTCAGATATTCTTTTCACTGATTCGAATTCAACATTCAATATGAATTTGGATTCAATATTTGGTAACTGCTAAATATATACGGACGTAGAACAGTGCTATTCAGTGTTTTTCATACAAGCCTCCCATATATATGGTAACAAATCGCAAAAAATGGAAATAAATAATTAATTGTGTTTTATTTTCTACCGAAAAGTGACTTCCAAAAATAAAGTAGTTTTCGAAAAATCGCTCCCCTCCTCGCACACTACTAGTCTTTATCATTTGTAGCGACAGAATGAAAGAATTCGTAAGAATATCTCGGTGTTTACAAACAACATTCTATTGAAATTCAAATGCGCAAAAAAAATCGTCAACACAAAACTGAAAGCGATGACCAAAATACACTCACTCTCAATCATTTTCATTCTCTTTATATCTTACACAAAACATTCGCAGCTACATGTGTGTGTATGTGTGTTTAAACAAAAAAATGGATTCTGAAAAACGAATTTGAATTCGAATCATATGTGAAACAGCAAATTATTTTTACAGCAGTGTATTTTGAGTGTCAACGGAGTTTCTTAATAACAGAATTTCACTTTTTTATACTGTTTGTAGCTGTACGAATTAAAAGTTGATACATTTCAATAGCTGGTATCGAAGAAATTCATTACTTTAAACTAGACGGTCAAAATGTAACATTTGATAACAAAAAAAAATCTAACATGGATTTCAGGTGTGTTAGAAAGCTATCAATTATGACAATTTTTGATCATGCAGGCATTAGCCTATTAAGATTTCAATCTTGGAATTTTACAAATGATTTTTGGAAAAAAATGAATTATTTAAAAATATTTTTACAAAGCATAGATAGGTATCCTACACTTACTTCTAGTAACCATGTCCCTTGAGGGTATTCGCCCCAGGTATGTGTGGTCATGAATGGCCATTTAGTAAACCCATCTCTGTAATCGTCATCATTAATTCGTCTGCTTAGAATCATTGATCTTGTTCCCATAGGGGAGGTGAGGAAAATTTCTAAATCTCCACGTCGAGTTGAATTAATTGTAATTACAGCTTGAACATGTTCCAAATAGTTAACTTCTGTCTCTTGCCCTTTGCATGCATTTGTTGTTATTTTCAATGCTAATGAATGTTGAGATGTAACTTGCCTGCAAAAATGAAAAAAATTGTATAAGTATGGCCAAAAAAAAGTTTTCGGTATCGAGATGCCCCATTCAAATCTACAATCTTATTCGTATTTGAGACACTTTTTGATTAATGTCATCGGATTGTTTCCGCAACGGGATCAACGAATTTAGCGCCGAAAGAACAGTACAATTGATGGTAATTTACGTAATTTGTTCATAAATATATAGAACACGTGATACACACAACCATATCAAGAGAAAATGATTTTGAACTCGAAATATGGATTGTAAGTTAGAATTTGTCAAATGTTGACATTTTTGAGAGTCACAAATTGGTCACTAAAAGATGGCATCATTTATTTGGATCTACGTATTCGGTTTGAAAAATTTCTTTCAACTTCGATTTTTAGTATGAAAATCGAAAAATTCACATTTCTGTCCCAAGGAGTGTGTCACAAATTCAAATGTTGACATTTTTAAGAGTCACGAATTGGTCACTAAAAGATGACACCATTTATTTGGATCTTCGTATTCGATTTGAAAAATTCATTGATTTTTGAATTTTAGTATGAAAATCGAAAAATTGAGATTTCTGTCCCAAGGAGTGTGTCACAAATTCAAATGTTGACATTTTTGGGAGTCACAAATTGGTCACTAAAATTATATCGAAGAATTTTTATAATTTTGCCATAATTTTTATGAAAAGCCTTTTCAAATTTTCGATTAAAATCATTTTTGTGCATTTTTCAATTTTTTGTTCATAATATGTCCACCAGATGTCGTATCGAAAATCTAAAGTCATATTTGTGAGTCACAAATTAATCACTAAAATTCTGCATCATTATATTTTTATTTTTTGCTTTTATTCGAAATTTCACTAAGAGACTTTTTGGCCAATAGGCCTAAATAGAAAAATGGCCAAAATTGGCCGAAAGTCTATTCCATGGGCCGAAATATTGGTGTCACAAATTATCACAAATTAGTCACTAAATCCCTAAAAAGGTTTCAAGGCAATCGCAAAAATTTGCCAGGCTGGATAGGGGGGGCCCTATTTTGTTCATCATGTTTGTTATTGATCTTCCTTTCGTCGTGACCAATTCTTGTATACTTTCATTCGCTGATGATACAAAAATTTCAAAATGTATCACCACAACAGATGACTGCATTAATCTTCAAAATGACTTGGATCGTAACTCATTTTGAGGGGTAAAGCCTCTACTAACACCGCAAGTGCGAGTAAGCGTACTCTGATACTTTTTTCTGTGTTGGTTAAAGTTCTACGGCAAGGATTTCATCGACCTATGGACAATTTAACGCCTTTATTTTACATTTGTATTACCAATAATCGATTATGGATCAGAAATATGGAATCCACACTACGACAATATGTGCAAAAGAAAAGAGTCAATACAAAAACAATTTTTACTTTATGCCCTAAGGAGAATGAACTGGGATGGCTATAGATTTCCAAAATATGAGCATAGACTGTTTCTACAAATGATTACGCTTGGGGAGAGATGCAAGATTGCGCAAGTGTCTTTCATCTTCAAAATTATTCATGGAGATATTAAGTCGATTCATATGAACCGTTTAGACTAAAAGAAGGTAATGGTAGAAAGTTAAAAAAATCTCAATCATAAAGTGTTATGAAAATAATTGATTAGTGATTTTTCTAGTTGACCATTTAGTGGTGTTCGAGAATTGAGAAAAAAATGTCTTTTTTCTTTCACTTTTTGTGCTCTGTACCGAGTCTCCGAGAGTTTCATATAAACTCGCCTTGCAATAGCCAAATGACGCGTATTGCTTCAATCACGATTGGTATTCGCTTACTATTCAATAGGCATCACATAGCAAGTTTATATGAAACTCTCGGAGACTCGGTATAGAGCACTCAAATAGTGAAAAAAGTCCAGATCGTGATTTAGATGATAAGGAATGCGATTTTTTTCATTCTGATTTCACCAGATGATACAGAAAGCTGAGTAGTATTTGAGAATTGAAAAACACGGAAGACCGCTATAAATAAAAACAAAAAAAAAGAGGCTTACGTACGCAAGCTGACTTTTCCGCATGGAACCGAAATTTTGGGAATAAACAGAAATCATGGTCTTTGTATGGTTGCAGTAACTTAAATTACCGTGAAAACTTGTGAATATTATTTTCTTATCAAAATAAATAATCACACCAAGTTTAAAGAAATTTCAATCCAAAAAATAGCCTGTTCAAAGTTTCAGATCATTACGGTACCACAAAGGCAAGTCTTTCATACAAAAATGAAACTTTTTGTGGATTTTTGTATGAAAAAAGTGTGAAAAATTGATTGCATCTTAAAACTAACATCAGATTCGGGTTTCTCCCCCCACTACACATTCATTCAGCGTTCAAATTGAAAGAATATCATTTTAAGGCATTTTTCTCATAAGTGCCTCTTCAGAGTCTAAGTTTTACACCGATCAATCAATGTCGTTGAAAATTTGACCAGATTTATTCCTCGTAGTGCCCAATCATCCCGTGAAGTCACATTTTGAATTTCATGTCTGAGCATGAAACCATCGTGTCACCAAAATGGTTAAGAAATGATCAAAAATTTATGGATGTGGGATTGTGGGTACTCCATTCGGACCAAAAAAAATTACACCGGTCAACAGATATTGCTCAAAAACTAATCAGCACGTCTCCTAGTAGTCCCAAATCATCCTGCAAAGTCAGAATTTGAATTGAGTTTTTGGAAGAGGATTTATCGTGTTAACAAATTTTGGCAACACGCCACAGGACACAGGACACATCACACACAGCGACGCACATTAATATGCCCCAAAATCATCTCCATTATATCATAGTGTTTTCTACATTAAATATGCATAGAAAACATGTTTTGGGATGACTTTAATTTTTTGGCCTTATACAATACCTTCCCTACACTAGGTGTGCGGAAAAGTAATATTGAGCCGTCATTAGGTGTAAAAAATAGAAATGTTATCCAAAGCGAGTCGACCTTTGTGTGTCTGTATATATTGGTACCGCTATTACATAAATGCTGACTATAGACTAATAAATAGGTCACTCCTTGATGTTGACTGGGATAAGGAAAAGACTAAACAATTTCTATACAATTGTAAAGTCAACAATCGAAACTC